GTTGTAATGTGACAAAATATGGAAAAGTTCAAGGGGTATGAATACTTTTGCAAACCACTGTATACATCTAGATACACCTTGTAGCTACTTATTGTCCAGACATCCATTTTTCCTTCATACCATTCATTTAAATGCCTTTTAATAAGATACTGGAGACGAAGCATCATTTCGTTTTGTTGTAACACCATAATGCTGTGAGTCTGACAAGTTTGGCCTTCTGTCTGATCTCATACCAGCTGATGTGTGCTCAAACTGGTTTGTCGTTTCCTCCTGCTGCTTCAGTCTATCCCAAAGCTGACTTTCCCCGGGGGGTTGCTGATCGGCTGCAGCCCAGGTTTTATGAACGTGCCGAAGATCAAAGGGACCCACACGGCTATGAAGAGTGGCATTCTGGCTGCTGAGGCCATCTTCCCYAAAGTTACAGCGAAGGAGCCGAACTCGGAGACAGCAGGTACAGAATTTAGACTCTACAGATCCGGACAGAAGCATCAGTTACTGATCTGTACATCATTTCCTCTGCTCCATCAGGGGTTGTAGCTCAGGTAAATGTAGAAGCAGAGGAACTAAACAAGACAAAAGCAKCATTTTAAAGTTGAAAATGAGGTAGGAGGATAAGGTTGCTGCTTCTCAGTATAGTCCCAAAACACCGGACTCCCCTTTAAAACAAAACACTTTTTAAATGCTGACTGAGAGGCACTGCCTGACATTTAGTGCAGTTTTTAAAATAATCAAAAATCCCCCGTTATCTTGATCTGCTCAATCAGCTGTGTAATGTTAGTTTTCAGAGCACAGACAGAATAAAAATAAATAATTTCCTGATTTATCTACTTTTTACTCTCATTTTATTCATAGGGCAAGTGAGTTTATCTGGCACTAATTTACTATTTTTTTTCCCATTTTCCCAAAACAAAATGCCAATGAGACAACCTGGTTCTGGTTGGTTTGCATACAAACAAATATTCCAGCAACATAACAGACATTTTTACATAAGGTCATAGTTGTTATTAACCTTATTTAAAGTATTCCGGGAGGAGGCCCCGAGGAAGACCCAGGACACGCTGGAGGGACTATGTCTCTCGGCTGGCCTGGGAACGCCTTGGAGTTCCCCCGGAGGAGCTGGAAGAAGTGGCTGGGGAGAGGGAGGTCTGGGCCTCCCTTCTGAAGCTGCTGCCCCCGCGACCCGACCCCGGATAGGCGGAAGAAAATGGATGGATGGATGGATGGAAAGTATTCCTATATATTCAGTTCCCTTTCAGTCATTTCACTCAGTACAACACACAGTTGTATATGGGCCTGGCTGAAGCCACCTCTAATCACATCTTTAGACCGGTGATGTGGTGACGTTGAACGTCGGGTAACAGGCTCCGCCTTCACCCTATAAGTGCGGAGTCACCAGCGTCATTGCTCAGTTCTATCGCCCTTCACCTCGCGATAGTCACCTCTAAACCTGAGCTCACATAGCTGCTGCTAGTTAGCTCAGCTTCTAAGGTTCTTAGGCTAGCTTTACTGGTGCTAACCGCGTTACCTGCTGGTTCGCGTGTCTGCCGCTCGATGCTACTTAAGTGACCTTTATTTTCTGCTGAAAATCTGTTTTGTGGTTCACGATGAGCACAAAACCACCTTCGAAGAAGCCGAAGTCTTCTGTTCGCCCCTGTCATCAATGGTTCAGCTTTAAGCTTCATGAGAAGGACCAGCATGAGGCCTGCCCAGCCTGCCTAGGAATCATTCACGCTCGACGGGCGCTTGTGGAGCCCGAGTCCTGCCGGGCCTGTGCCGGACTTTCGCGTCCYACACTGGAGAGGAGAGTGAAATTCTTGGAGAAAATGCTGGGGGGAAACAGCTGTTTTCCGACAAGACCCGCTGCTCTCCYAATCCAGCCAGACGGCTCAGTCCAACGAAGATGAGGGTTTGGCGATCGAAGCCCCCGCTGCTAGCTGGGCGGACCAGATGGAGCACAAGGCGGCCTCACCCGACATCGAGGGGGGTGAGACCCAGTTTCTACTGGATCTAAACCGAGAGGGTGGACCGGGATTCGTCCTTCTTGTCCCTGTGCCGCCGAGCTGCTGCTAAACTGGAGGTACAGTGGCCCGACCCCCCACCTGCTCAAAAGCCATCTAGGTTCGCAGGGTTTTATCTTCCGTCTGAACCGGCTGATGTGAAGCACCGTTTGCCTATGTTTCCAGACTTTGTGTCYGAGCTGACGTCTTCCTGGAGCAAACCGCTGTCCATCCGCGCCTTCGTGCCCAGACAGGGTCAGTACTTGGACGTGGAAGGGGCAGACCAAGCAGGCCTGGTGGGCATCCCTCCGATGGAGCCTTCTTTAGCCGCTTATTTGGCTCRYTRTCACAACCAGGGTGTGAGCGGGCCCACCCTGCTCCCTTCCAAGCCCTGCAGATTCTCTTCGGCACAGCTGGAGAAAAGCTACAAAGCCCATGGTAACACCGCCCATGTGCTGAGCTCCGTCACCGTGCTTCAGACCTACCAGGCCATGGCCTTGGCTGAACTGGCAGCTCAGATGCCGCAGGAAAAACCCCTTTAACCCCTGCTGAACGAGATCAGACTGGCGTCAGACCATATTCTGCGTGTGTCCCGCTGTGCAGCGCTGGCTCTGTGGAAAGGAATGGCTTCTACTGTGGTGGCGCAGAGGCACCTGTGGCTAACGCTCTCANTCACAACCAGGGTGTGAGCGGGCCCACCCTGCTCCCTTCCAAGCCCTGCAGATTCTCTTCGGCACAGCTGGAGAAAAGCTACAAAGCCCATGGTAACACCGCCCATGTGCTGAGCTCCGTCACCGTGCTTCAGACCTACCAGGCCATGGCCTTGGCTGAACTGGCAGCTCAGATGCCGCAGGAAAAACCCCTTTAACCCCTGCTGAACGAGATCAGACTGGCGTCAGACCATATTCTGCGTGTGTCCCGCTGTGCAGCGCTGGCTCTGTGGAAAGGAATGGCTTCTACTGTGGTGGCGCAGAGGCACCTGTGGCTAACGCTCTCAAACGTTCCCGACAAGGACAGAGCGGCCTACTTGGATGAACCGATAACGCCTACAGGACTGTTTGGTCAAGTGCTTGACGTCATCCAAACCAAATTTTAACAGAGGAAGAAGCAGGCTGAGGCACTTAGCTGCATCATCCCCAGATGCGACGCGAGGCCCGAGGCCCCGAGCACATCCAGGTCTGRGTCTCATCCTCCTCCATTCAAGAAGGCAGCGACACCCGGGACTTCAAAGGCCCAGTCCGCCGAATCTTCCAGCAAGCCGCAGCCTCCCCGACAATCGGCATGGAGCAAAGGCCCCCTCCGAGTCAGTAGGACAGTTCAGCGGCTCGGAAGAAGAAGTCATAGTCCTCCTAACAGCAGGACTGTCTTCACAGGGACTTCAKAAACAGAGAGACAATGTTCAGCTGCAGTTGAAAAGACATTTAAATGTTTGTGTTTCAGAAAACGGCCCCAAGAGGTAAAGCTCTTTCTAGACAAAGATTCTCTCACTGGATTGTAGAGGCCATCTTGCTAGAATATAGCAGCAAAAACCTTCCAATCCCTCTTGGAGTTAAAGCTCACTCCACCAGGGGTGTAGCGGCATCTTGGGCCCTTTTTAAAGGGGTACCTGTGAGAGACATTTGTGCCGCGTCCAGCTGGGCCTCACCAAACACATTTGCACTATTTTACAGCCTGAATGTAAAAGCACCTTCGGTGGCTCATTCTGTACTTTCTGCCAGGTCCAAAGCTCTGCATTAGTACAGTACTCAGGCGCACTACTTAACTCAGGTCTGATACTGCTCTGCGGGGCGCTTTGACAAGTCCCATATACAACTGTGTTGTACTGAGTGAAATGACTGAAAAGGAACGTAAGGTTATGAATATAACCACGGTTCCTTGAAGGAATGGAACAAAGTACAACACTTTGTTGGCCCCACATCACAAAAGGCTCGGTGAAGGGCGGTATCTAACTGAGCAATGACGCTGGTGACTCCGAACTTATAGGGTAAAGGCGGAGCCTGTCACCCGACGTTCAACGTCAACTTCAGCCAGGCCCATATACAACTGTGTGTTGTACTTCGTTCCATTCCTTCAAGGAACCGTGGTTATATTTATAACCTTACGTTTTTTCACTTCAAACTTGCGTAGTTGCCATCAAAAGTCAGAACACCTGAGATTTAAACTTGTGAGAATTTATCAGGGATCAAACAGGCGCAGTGCTTTGTGCTGCGGGTGGATCAATCAAAAAACCCTAAGGTTAGAACATTTCAATCCAAACTCTTTGAAAGATTCATGACGTGTTTGTTCATTTAGTGCTGGTCAGCAAATTTAGCATGAGCGCTTCTAATCTTCTAATCGAGCTGCACAGTTGTGAAAGATGCTAATTTATGTGCAGCGATCTGAAATTATTTAGCTCTAAAGCCTTATTTTTGTTTCGTCAGCGAAAAACTTTTACCTGGTGGTGTGTGGTGGTGGTGTGGGGGTAAACAAACATTTTCACACGGTGGAAATGATGCGGTCGACCTCTGAGAGTTCTAACTCTTTGTTAAACGACTGCATGTCTTTAGGTCTCCATGTGCCTGAGTACAGTGAGAACTTGAAGAAGTCTTGGGTGTGGAAAGAGCTGTACTCTGTGAGGAACATCAGGCCGTCCTTCCACAACCCCTTCGGTCTGTACGGCGGCATGATTTACACTGGGATTTTCTACTGGATCTTGCGAGGAAAAGAGCCGTGGACACTCAAACACAGTGGTGAGTAAACAGCACAGAGCAGAACTATTGTATAGAGGTGTTCAAGTTTCAACTATTTTCTTTTTATTATTTTTTTACCTCAGTAGTATGGAGGACCGAAACTGTCATAATTAGAAATAAATCTGAAATATAATTCAATTTTTATAATTTATTTATAATTTAATTGACCTTCATAATTATTTTTCCAGCTTAGTTACAATAAAATGTATATATTAGCACCTAATTTCGATTTTACTGTTTWAAAAAAAAACATAGGTGGGCGGTCTTTCTTGTAAGGCAAGGAAGAAAACCCTTAGCTGTACCTTTGTTTTAAAKAAAACTTTAAGCTAAGCAGAGGCAGCACAAGCATGTACAGTAAATCTGCACATGGTTCCTGCTCCTTCCTGTCTATCGACCAATAGGAGAGGAGCTGATACAAGAAGGACCGCCCACCTTATTTGCATAACGAGGCAGAAATGCATAAGTTAAAGTAAAAACAGGAGATGGAGAAATGTAAAAGAAACACATGGAAATAATAAACTTGTGGCAAAAATTCTGAAAAAAATATTTAAATATAAACATTTAAGAGACAAATGCATCAAATAAAAGGAAAAACAAAAAAATATATATTTTTAAAAACTGTAAAATTTAAATTAAGTACTAAAATATATAATTTATTGGAACTAAGCTGGAAAAATAAATAGGAAGGTCAATTAAATTATAAAATGAGGTAAAGTTCCCTTTTTTATTTAATTGGTACATTTTAAGTGTTGTTTATTCATTTATATATTTCTGCTTTTATTTCTAACTATGACAGTTTTGGTCCTCCATACAGTAGCAGGGACAGACAAAAATATTATTAGCAGAAACCTCATGTTTGGTCACTATCAATGGAAAAAAGGCCCTAAAATTGAATGAAATGTAGCAGAAATAAATCCACACTTGTGCTCTATGTGTGGCAGGTTTGGATGCACACCAGCTGAAACCAGCTAAAGACTGTACGCCCATCGAGTACCCCAAGCCCGACGGCAAGATTAGCTTTGACCTGCTGTCGTCTGTGGCCCTGAGTGGCACCAACCACGAGGGAGACCAGCCTCCACACCTGACCTTAAAGGACGACAGCGTCCCGGTTGCCAGGAACCTGGCTGTGTATGATGGACCTGAGCAGCGCTTCTGCCCCGCAGGTAACCCCATCCCACTGTTCAAAGAGCATTACAACTCCCAAGCTTTTCAGCTGCAGAGAAAAAAAATCATCTTCTGCTCATAATGTCGCAAACTGTGTGCTGTTCTTTTGTCATGAGCAGAATCAGTGCGATATTTAACCTAAAYAGAAATAAAGCTTGTAAGTAAACAATTATTGGTTGTTTATTTTGTAGACAGATAGAAAATAATGAGCAGATTTAAGAAATGTAATTTTGTAATTCGTTTTGCAAACTACAATCTTCTATAMTCAAATGATTCTGTGACTGAGAAAAGCAATTATTCTGTTTATAAAACAAAACATTTTAGCCAGAGATGAGAAAATAATAGGATTATAACTACAGTGTTGAAATAGTAATTATAATAAAAATGCACAAACAACTGTTTATCTTAATCAAATCAAATTCCTTTCCTTTCTGTGTGAAACAAAACAGCAGGATCTCACAGATTTAAAAACTAAACATGGATTATAATTTACCAATTTATCAAGATGGCTGTTTCTGCTCATCAATATGATTGTTTCCTGGTAATAAGGGCTGCAGGAAATCAGGAGAACCTGCAGTAACAGTGCCTAATACTGCGATGATGATATGACTTAGAATAAATGAAAAAAAAACTACTTAAGTATGCAAAAAAATAAATAAAATAATACATCATTTCCGTTACAACATAACAGTGATTATGATTTGATGTGGTTTCTCTGGTCCTTTGTTTATCAGACTGATGCTGACAAAACACATAAATGCAAACATTAAAGCCAACCATTTATTGCAGTTTATACAGTTGTTTGTGATATGCCTKTTGGRTGTTATTGCYATGACGATATATTTGCGATARAATGGTCTATGGCAYTGGTTCCCAAAGTTGGGCTCAGGACCCTACCATGAGTCATGACAGACCTAAAGAGGGTCCTCAATCTCCAAAAATCAAATTACATGTAAAACAAATCTTCCCTAATAACGTGTTTTTCCTATATTGTTACAAATTAATGCAAAATGTGTATCTTAAAGTGCCTGTGATGTGCYTACCCTTCAAATACAAAAGTCAAAGAAAACATCTTTATATTTAAGAAACAGCATAATACACGTGATTTTTACCCATTTTTTAAATAACTGGCCTAATTTATTTTAAATTAGACTCTGCCAAAGTGAAACAGGAAGTGACATCAAAGGGGAACTCCCCAGTCTTTGTTTACTGAAACAATACTATTCAAATTCCGACTCTTCTTCATCTCTTACTGATAGGGACTGAAAATAATCTAATCTAATAATCAGATTATTCTCTACAGTCTGTGTTGTCGYCCATTGTATCAATGCTCTGTTCACATTCAGACATTCCCCTTTGAATCACTTCCTGTTACTGTACAGAAGAATATCTCAACAACTGTTCATCTCAGCGGAGCAATTTTTTTCTGATATTTTATCAATGTTATCTTTCCAAAAATGCATTTATATTTATTACAAACAATTGATGTCATAGGCACTTTAATAAAACAAGGTAGAACTCAATGTCAAAGCATGGACTGGGATGCCTCTGCCTACTCCTGAGCCATCTGCATCGAAAACAACTGGGCATATCGTTACCTTTTTACCTCCTATTTTTGGACTTAAATATTCTTAAAAGTATGTAACTATATCATCAATGTCTAAACATGACTTCCTCTTTGATACCATATCATTTAACCATTTATTTAATTTGTACTATCAAGGAATTTGTAAAGAAAATTAAATAAAATTTATATTACCYATCATGATAAATGACCTTGACCTTTGACTCCCAAATCTAATTAGACTGAGTACTACCCTATTGGCATTACTGTGCTTATTTATAAGTAAATATATAATTTCATTCAGGAGATATCGTGCACACAAGGCCACCCGTGACGGACCGACACCGCACTAACACACAGACCGACAGAACAGTCTGCCTCTGGCCCCCAGTGGGCGGAGTCATAATAAAAAACAAAATACTATTTGTGTTGTAGTTACTAGAACCTTGTTTAATAGTCATCAATATAATGTATACCTAAATCAACATAATTTGGGGCCTAGGCTGTTATTGTGTTTGGAAAACACTGACCTAAAGTCTTTCTGCTCTAAACTTAAAGGTTTTGCTTTGTATGTTAAAAAAAACTTCACGGCAAAACATTTTGTTCCTTACAATTTCAAACACTAAAACGATTGAGACAATGTGAAAACTATGAAGAATTAATTCTGTATGTATTCATTAAAGGCTGAGTTTACTTTTTATGCAGCTGGAATCATTTTCTTTTAAAAGATTCTATTTTAAAGTGCAGAAAGTGTGAAACTTGATTTGTTTGTGGATTATCTGATTATCTGAAAGCTTCTTTTTATGCTGCTTAAACACATAAATGATCAAAGTAACTGAAGACTAGATTTCTAACTACGTGCATTATGTTAATTATCAGGGATTTTAATGTTTTTTTTTACAAGTTATATAAAGACTAATCCTCAGTAGGAAAATCTTTGTTCTTTCAAAGCTGCTATCATCACAACACCATCATGTCAGAAACTCTGTGAGGCTTTTTAAAATTATTGTTCTCTTAGTTTTTTTTTACTCCATTCAGAAAGCCCCTTTTCAAACACAAATGTAGCTCAAAATGCTTCACAAAGGAAGTTGATAAAACATTTTTTAGTCTGTTTCCTGATCAGTTCACCATCAAGAGCTTAAATATCTGCCACATTGTTCATTTGTGTATCATGTTCTTAAGCATTAAAAGTTCTTTGGAAGAAATAACAGATGGTTTTATTTTGCAATCAGTGGCTCGTTGTGTTATTTTAGAAAAAACCCTCAAGAAATCAGATGTCGGGGTTTGTATTGTGGGCGGCAAAGTTTCATTTTTTGGGAGGGAAAATAAAAAACGAAAATGATCATCCTCAGAAACTTGAAGCTACATCCACAMTGATCTGCTGTTGAATGGTTTATTAGATTAAAATCTGTTCCAATCGATTAACTGATAAGATCCGCCGGCACATTACTATATTATGATAATTAATATGTATACACCACATTTTATTTTCTTAAAATGACAGTCGGAGTTCTGAGTCCTGGAGAGCAGATTAGGGTATTTATGTTCCCACCACACAGTCCAGGTAGACCCGTTTCCTCCGAGTTAAAAAAAAATCTGTCGTTTTAGCCACAGAGAGAACAGGAAGGCAGCAAAAAGTGAAGAATCAGAGAAAAATCGTTATTTCTAAACGTAAATAAATTCTCATAATAATAAACAAAAGTTTTGCATCTAAAAATCATATTTTATTCATTTCATGTTTTCCCCCATTCAGCAGCCTCATGTGGATTTCTGTTTGGTTGTATTTTATAACAATTTCAAGTTTAATAATGTGAGAAATCCACTTTTTTTTTTAGTTTATTCTATTTAATACAGCTGGCAAAATCAATTGAAATATATTGATCTGCTCCATTTTTTATGTCAGCGTATTATAAAAGATTAAACCTTCATGTTATGGAAAGACCCACACGAGAAAACTCAGGCTGCTTATCAATTAATTCATTAGGTGATTGATACGATCAATCAACTTTAGTTTAATTCGTTAATCAATAACTTGCATCAATAATCTCTGAACTGTCGTCTAACTTGACTTCTTGTCACACATCAACTCTTCCAGGTGTCTACGAGTACGTTCCCGTGGAGTCGGGAGATGGGATGAGATTACAGATTAACGCTCAGAACTGCGTCCACTGCAAGACCTGCGACATCAAGGACCCGAGCCAGAACATAAACTGGGTCGTTCCCGAGGGCGGCGGTGGACCTGCTTACAACGGAATGTGATATTTTGTTGAAGGATTATAGTGTTTTACATTCAGGGCAACAGAACTGTTTTCAAACGTGCCTAAAGGTTATGATATTTTTAAGTGCGGTTGAGGGTACAAGAATTATCACCCAGTTAATTTAAAGAATGTTTTCAGGTTTGAGATGTGGGACCGGTGTAAAATGCAGGACCATGCTGTCAGCTGGGGGCGTTTTAATTTATCAAAGTGGCTTCTGTTGTTGTTTTATTAGGAGGAATACTTGATCAACAGCAATGGTTTATGTGAATGTTGTAAAATTAAACGAGCTGTTTAAATGTTAACTAACTATTAATGGCAGAAATAATTTAACAGCTTGTAACATAAATATTGTACAAAGACACAGTAATTAATAAAAAAAAAACACTTGAGTTATTCAGTGCTTTATTGACCAGTAAAAACATAAATAACATGGATGTAATGTGTGAGGTCCAAAGTTTCAAAACTCCAAACATATGATTCAACAGAAACAACTTTGCTTTTTTGGCTTTAAAGCTCCAGAATGAAGGCCAGCGTTGATCCAGTTCAGCAGCAGTAGGATCAGACATGCAAAAAGCTTCCATGATAACAACAGAAAGGTCTCGGGTGGAAAACATGAGGAACAATCAGATGTGCAGCATTTTCTCCTGACTTCCTACTGCAGAGGTAACMTCATGATAAATGTTCAGGCAAACATTTTGGCATAGATTTTCTTTTCCCTCTCCTTCTCTTCTTGGATTTTATGCTGGACTTTCTTCATCTCATTGATGATGGCTGTTAAAAGAAAATGGTTTTAGTTTTTTTTTCTTTTTTTTGGGCAGAAGTTGAGAATCAAACTCATCTTTTTACTATAAGAAAAATTCAGTTTTTTAGTTCTTTTTTTGTCTCTTTTCTTCTGGATGCTGAAAGTCCAAAAAACTTCTGCCTAAAACATCCAGAGTCCAAGACTGGAAAAAATAAAATAAAAAAGCTACAAACTTGCACAGATCAGGAAGTGTCCCATTTCTGAGGTGTATAAAGAATAAAGCAGCTACAGTAGGTGTCCTGTTAACTCAGTCTTATCCTGAAACTAACCTGGTCTATTTTATTACAATTCCATAACATRTGTCTATTTTTGAAATGATTTGTCTAATTAAACAAGCTGGTTCTAATTTGATTGATTTGGATTTTGTGTTTTCTTTTTGTATAGTGCCAGGCAATGACTTTTATTTCGATGTGGAGCTATATAAGCGAACTGTTTCCTATCTTAATTTTTAAAAATGTACATTAATCTGCATAAAAATGAAAAGTTCAAACATGAAGTTCAGTTCTTCATGATAAGAAAATACAAGGTTTAGTTAAGAGGAAAAAAAAGTAAAATCTCACCTTTATCCTCTGGAGCAACTTCCTGAGCTTTTTTCAGATCAGTCTGTAGAGAAAATAAATAGATAAAAAATAAAACATCACTTTCCTCTGCTAAAGAAAATCAATTCTGATGTTTTTCCACTTGTTTACTTAAAGACAAGAAAGGACATGAACATTTTGAGGAATTGATTTGTTTCTGTCTTCAAGAAAAACTTTTTTTTGAAACCTAAAAGGTATTTATTGCAAAATATGAAATCAATCACAAAAATATATCCTATATGCTGTGATGCAGGTCATAATTTACAGTAAACAAAGCGCTTTGCTACATCTGCCATGAATCAGGCMGAAGCTGGAGAAACATGACCGACCTGTAAACAAATGAGGTGCAACTGGACAAGTGTAGAACCTCTGGGATAACGAGTCAACTAGTTGCTAATTACCAAAAACTGCAACATGAATTAATTWTTTAATTCAATTATTATATCAAGGACCAAGCAGAGCAGTTGAAAACCAGAATTTGGCATTCAAACAGCTTAACCTTTGACCTATTTCCAATAACTTCAGCTGTTTCTGTAGCTAAATAAACTCATATAGGAGTTGGTATCCGGTCACAAATTCTGGTTACAYTTATTTAATTTAAATACATATTAACCGCTGATATGGAAATAATGTGTTAATTAGGTTGATTGCTTTTTGGAATATTTTTGTCAAATCTTCATGACTTTGCAATAAGTACCTTGAACTATGAGAGAGTTTAATGAAGTTACCATGGCTTTGTTGTATTCCTTCAGTCCCTGCCAGGCCTGGGCCCTTCGGAAAAGTGCCTTAGCGTTTGATTGGTTCAGTTCAAGAGCCTGCAATAGAAATTACATTTCTGCTTATCATATGTAGGTGAATTCATTTAAAAGCCTCAAACTGATCAGGCAAAAATCACTGCAGATAAGAATATATGGATCTGCATGTAAAATGTGTCAATACGAGGCTGATTATATCCTCTTTAAAGGAAGTTTATGTAAGTAGATGTTTCATGGTATATTAAAATCATGTTTAAAAGAACAATATTTAACTGGAATAACACTTCTTATTTTCTTGGATGTCACACATCCCAACAGTGAAAACAAAGTTCCAGGATGCAGCTCTCAGGATTTAAGATATAGAAAGGAAAAATCAATCTGGTTGTTTGCTTCAGCCACCAAATACAAACTGTTTGTAGTAAATATTGACTTTGCAGTGAGAGGTAGCATTCACAAAGCAAATAATGTAAAGTTCTAGGATTTCAGAAACAACAACTCACGTTAGAGGGCAATCACTACAGTAAAGATTGGTTTTGTTCAGACCTCATTGCAGCTGTCCAGAGCTTCCTGCCACAGCTGCATCTTCAGTTTACAAGCAGCTGTGTTCAGYAAGCAGCTGAGGACTGTGGGCTCCAGCTTCTTTTGTGCCTCCTCCTCCAGTTGATCTCCACACATCTCCAAGTACCTGAATTAACACAAAAACAAGGAAAAAAGTTTACCACCAACATTAAAAAACATAACTTGTTGGTTTTTTTTTTTTGAGTTGCATTCATTGTTAAGTAGAGAAGTTAAGTGTGTGCTTGTTTTGGCTGTTAAAAATATATACTTATTTACGTGTGAACATGAAACTAACATTTCTTGCAACAAGAACTTACTTTAAACACTCAGTGTTTGTACTTTAAGTGTATGCAAATGAAATRGTTCATTTCACGGCTGCTTTCAAAGCGTGCAGCTCAAACGGTCTCTGAGGATGGCTGTGACTGAGAGTAAAGCACAAGTTCAGACTTATTTGAACTTACCTGACAGCTTTAGRGTATTTGTTGACAGCAGCTTTCCAGTCTTGATTCTTAAAAAGTTTGTTTCCAATATTCTTCACGTCTTCAGCGACTGACAGAACTTTGTCGACCTATTAAATAAAAACAATTTGTTACTTGTCCAGGGAAACTTGTCTCATGCAGTTTTCTCCTCAGATGAACTTGGACAAAACTGATTTGAAAACTACACGTGGAAACAAAAACAAACTAGAGAATTTTCATTTCCTATGAAATGCAGTGTGAATGCTTAATGCTTGTGCTGAAAAACTAAAAATGCTGAAACTAGCCTAAAAATCAGCTAAAACAGAAAGCAAGCGTTTGCTGAATTAAGCAGATAAAAAGCTAAAATTATAATAAAAAGGTGAATTTGAAAAATCAAAAAACAATAGCTGAAATTAGCAGAAAGCAGCTGAAAGATGCACAAAAAAGTTAATAGCAGAAAATCTCAACAACATAGCAGAAAAATGTTAATCTGCTAAAAAGTAGCTGAAACAGAAAGCAAACATTTGCTGAATTAAGCAGAAAAAAGCAAAAATTATCATTAAAAAGGTGAATTTGAAAAAACTGAAATTAGCTAAAATGTAGATAAAAAAAACTAACAGCTGAAATTAGTAGAAAGAAGCACAAAAATGTTGAAAATAGCAGAAAATCTTGATAAAAGCTGAAAAAATTAAATCCGCTAAATAGAAGCTGAAATTAGCACAAAGTTTTGAAAACAGAATAATAAAAAAGGTAAAAAGTACAGTTAAGCTTCTTAAATATTTTTGTAGGGTTTTAAGGATGTTGAAGATGACTCCATTRGTTTTCAATGAGAAAAACATGGACAAAAAAGCTAAATATCCCATGAAGTACAAACTACTGAAATACCAAAACTCATAGCCAGAATGTCCTGAAGGAGCTGAACGTTTAGAAATATGAACTGTTAAAATAGAACAAAAATTGTGGAATGAGTTACGTACCAAAAAATGTACAGAAGAAAAGTTGATCTCATTCTGTGAATGCTTGTCACACAATTATATTAATATTTTTTTAAAATGGAGTTTTAGACTAATGAAGATTTAAAAAACCTAAGGCAATTCTTGTTTTTAAACTTTTTTGTTGCTTTGCAGAGGACAACTTTTAGTTTTGGAGAGTAAGGAGACTATGATCACCAAAACCTTCTAAGCAGTAAAATCTTTCACATAAACAGATTATGCACACAAGATCACAGATGCACACAATGTCCAGGGGACAAGCCTGAACTTATTTAGCAGCTGTTTCTTCTGCTTCCAGTGATTCCTGATCTAAATCCATCCTTGAACTTGATAATAAAATTTGTATCTGTCCTCTCAGCTGACTCTGTATAAAAGCAGCAAGCTTGTTTCCAGAAATGGCACAGCGGTCCTCCAGGAGCTGATTGATGTTTTCTGCCAATGTCCTCACAGATCAAACACCTCCCTGATTCTTACATCTTTAAAGTCCATGTCAGAGTCCTCGGGGAAGTCTGGGTGGGCATCTCCTGTTCCATCAATGGGTGCGGCGCCCCAGCTGTCCCCGTCCTTATGCTCGCCGCAGTCGCCTACGACACAAGGCTGATAAGGCAGAAACATTGAAGAACTCATGCAATCATTTTCTTTCACAGTGAAATACGCTCAGTTAACAGTGTAATAAATYCTCAGAGGCTGAAGGTTTTCAACTCAAACTCATTTTAAACTGAAACTCGGCAGGTTTAAAGAGGGTTTACCTTCATGGGTGTATCATCTGTAGTCTCAACGGACTCCAGCATTTTTACAATCCCCATCCCCTTTAACACTTGTCCAAAGACCACATGTTTCCCATCCAGGTGTGGCGTTGGTACAGTAGTGATGAAGAACTGGGAACCGTTGGTGTTTGGCCCGGCATTGGCCATGCTCAGCAGACCCACTTTGTCATGCTACAGAAGGAAGAAAAGCACCAAACGGTAAACCAGAGCTATTCAACTATTTACCYTATTTTTCGGACTATAAGCTGCGACTTTTTTCCTGAACTTTGAACCATGCGGCTTATAGTTCGGTGCGGCTTATACATGGATTTTGTCCTTCAGCCACTGGGGGACTCTTATGCTCCATTTGATTCAACCACTCGCTTCAAAAAAAGAAAGGAAAAAAAAGAAAAAAGCAATTGCTTCCAGAGCCGACTGTTGACCAGGAAGCAGCGATTTAAAGATAGTCAHRGSCCAAAAACTCATAAAAGGGGATAAAACAGACATTTTTCACGGTGGAATCTGACTGATAAAAACTTTGGAGCTTAATCCAGGACCAGTTTGTGGATAAATGTCGAGTGAAGAGCTGCTGACTTTTTTTTTCTTCATTGTACTCCCCGGGGAAGAAATCCCATGCAGTGACGTTTGCTGGAGCAGGAGGGCTATCCCACCAC